AGACCTTGAGCTCAATCCAAGAACCCTCCCCTAAAAGAGGCTGTTTTTAAAGAAAAATTAGAAATAAAAAATGATAAAATGTAATTTTGCAAACACACTATGTAGTTTTATTTTTTTAAATCAATACACAATAACAATCTGATGAAAAAAGTACAAGTCTACACTAAAATAATTCTGTCAATTTGATAATGGTATGATTTGAATTTTAATCTTAATTTTCCTAAATTATAAAAATGTTGAGCATATTTTCATATACATATGTGCCATTTAAAATATTCTCTGGTGAAATGTGTTTTCAAATATAACTAATTTGAAAGGCTCAATTTAAGAAAACAATAAATGTTGGCAAGGATATAGGGGAAGTAGAATATAAACACAGTAATGATAAGAATGTAAAGTATTACAACTACTTTGAAAACACTTCAATAATTTTTTTAAAAGTTAAACACACACCTACCAAATGATGCAAACCCTCCGCTCCTAGGTAATTAACAAGAAATGAAGATACAAAGATTTGTACATAAAAGTTCATAACACTTGATTTTTAATATCCAAAAATTAGGAATAACYCAAATGTCCACCAACAGATGAATGAATAAAAACAATTGGGATCTATCAAAGGAACATTACTTTGCAATAAAAAGAGATAAATTATTAGCCTGGAATGGTGGGGCAAGCCCGTAATCCCAGCAGCTGGGAGGCTAAGGCAGGAGGATTGTCAGTTCAATTCCATCCTCAGCAACTTAGCAAGGCCCTAAGCAACTCAGCGAGACCCTGCTCTAAATAAAATACAAAAAGGGCTGAGGATGTGGCTTAGTGGTTAAGTGCCCCTGAATTCAAGCCCCAGTTCCAAAAAACAAATAAATAAAATAATATATCGATACACATAATACTGATGCATTTCACAATAATTATGACAACTGAAAGAAGCTTGGAAAAAACACATACAAAGCATACAATTCTGTTTATATGAAATTCTTTAAAGTGGAAACTAATCTATATGCAGAAAATAAATCAGTAATTACTTGAAGAGAGAATACCAAGAGTCAAGAGGAAACTCTGGAGAGTGATACTATGTTCACTGTCTTGTTATTCGTGATGCCGCATGTCAAAATTAYGTATTTTCAATATATCAGTTTATTATGTCACAGAAGGAAGGAAGGAAAGATGAAAGAAAGGGAGAGTATAATTATCACTAGATATTCAAAATATGTGTTTTAAATTAATACAGCTGAATTGCTTATCCAAAATGCTTGAAACCAGAAGTGCTTTGGGTTTAGGATTTTGGAACATTTTAACATATGTAATGAGATATCTTGGTCATGTGACCAAGTCTAACACAAAATTTATTTATATTTCATATATCATTTATACACATAGCCTATAGACAATTTTATACAAATGTATGTGGTATACCTACATTTTGACTGTGACCCATCACAAGAGGTCAAATGTGCCATTTTCCACTTGTAGTGTTATATCAGTGTTCAAAAGTTTGATTTTGAAGCATTTTGAATTATGGGTTTTTCAATTATGGATGCTCAAAGTACATATATCTTATATAACTTAAAATTCATTCCTTCAAAGTGTTCACATCAACAGTTTATAGTATATGGACAACTCTATACAAGACTAATTTCAGAACATTTTCATAACCCCAAAAAAGAAAGTTGTATCCACAGTAATCACTTGACACACCCTTAATCCCTCAGAATATACTTCATTTCTATTTGTCAATGTATTTTGTCTAGTCACACTAATTCAAAACGTCACATGGTTGGCAGATCACTTTTAACTTAATTTTAGGAGTGTGAATTATAATATAGGTATTACTACTGTACTTGTTTTACTCTAAGTATTAGCTGCTAGGCAAAAACTTTTAAGAACAACCACACGTGCTTGCAAGGAAATAATCTGCTACCCCTTTAAATGACTGCTAACATCCCTTCAAGTGTTATTTTGTTTGTTTCTTTTACATGAGTGCTCCAAAGAAAACCACAAGGTACCACTTAAACTAACTAAAAAGGTGAAAGATCTATACAATAAAAACTATAGAACCCTAAAGAGAGAAATCAAAGAAAACCTTCTTTAGAAGATGGAAAGATCTACCTTGCTCTTGGATAGGCAGAATTAATAGTATCAAAATGACCATACTACCAAAAGCACTATAAAGATTTAATGCAATTCTGATCAAAATCCCAATGGCATTCCTCATAGAAAGAGAAAAAGAAATCATGAAATTCATCTGGAAAAATAAGAGACCCAGAATAGCTAAAGCAATCCTTAGAAGGAAGAGTGAAGCAGGTAGCATCACCATACCAGACCTTGAACTATACTATAGAGCAATAATAACAAAAACAGCATAGTAACCAAATAGTAACCAAAACAGACTGGTAGACCAAAACAGACTGGTACAGAATAGACGACACAGAGTCTAACCTACAAAATTACAATTATCTTATATTAGACAAAGTTGCCAAAAACATGCACAGAGAAAAGATAATATCTTCAACAAATGGTCCTGGAAAACTGGAAATTCATATGCAACAAAATGAAATTAAACCAACCCCTATCTCTCACCATGGACAAAACTTAACTCAAAATGGATCAAGGACCTAGGAATTAAAACAGAGACTCTGCATCTAATAGAATAAAAAGTAGTCCCTAATCTCATCATATGGAATTAGGCCCTAATTACCTTAATAAGACTTCTATAGCACAAGAATTAAAACCAAGAATCAATAAATGGGATGGAATCAAACGAAAAAGTTTCTTCTCAGCAAAAAAAATAAAAATATGTCAGGTGAACAGAGAGCCTACATCCTGGGAGCAAATTTTTATCCCTTACACATCAGATAGAGCACTAATCTCTAGGATATATAAAGAACTCAAAAAGCTAAGCATCGAAAAAACAAATAACCAATCAATAAATGAGCCAAGGACCTGAACAGACACTTCTCAGGAAAGGATATACAATCAATCAACAAATATATAAAAAGATACAAATGGAAGACATGATTTACAGTAGAAGGGGTAGAGAGAGAAAAGGGGAGGGGAGGGGAGGGGAGGGGAGGGGGGATAGTAGACAATAGGACGGACAGCAGAATACATCAGACACTAGAAAGGCAATATGTCAATCAATGGAAGGGTAACTGATGTGATACAGCAATTTGTATACGGGGTAAAAGCGGGAGTTCATAATCCACTTGAATCAAACCGTGTAATATGATGTATTAAGAACTATGTAATGTTATGAACGACCAATAAAAAAAAAAAAACAAATATATAAAAAGAAAATGCTCATCATCTCTAGCAGTCAGAGAAATGCAAATCAAAACTACTTTAAGATATCATCTCACTCCAGTCAGAATGGCAGCTATCATGAAGACAAACAACAAGTTTTGGCGAGAATGTGCGGGAACAGGTACACTCATACATTGCTGGTGGGACTGCAAATTAGCACAGCCAATATGGAAAGCAGTATGGAGATTCCTTGGAAATCTAGGAAAGGAACTACCATTTGACCCAGCTATCCCTCTCCTATACCCAAAGGACTTAAAAACAGCATACTACAGGGACACAGCCACATCAATGTTTATAGCAGCACAATTCACAATAGCTAAACTATAGTTTAGTGGAGCCAACCTACATGCCCTTCAGTGGATGAATGAATAAAATAAATGTGGCATATACACACAGTGGAATTTTACTCAGCATTAAAAGAGAATAAAATCATGGCATTTGCAGGTAAATGGATGGAGTTAGAGAAGATAATGCTAAGTGAAGTTAGCCAATCCCAAAAAAAACAAATGCCAAATGTTTTCTCTGATACAAGAAGGCTGATTCATAGCGGGGTAGGGAGGGAAAGCATGGGAGGATTAGATGAATTCTAGATAGGGAAGAGGGATGGGAGGGAAAAGGAGGGGGCAGGGGATTAACAAGGATGGTGGAAATGTGATGATCATTATTATCCAAAGTACATATATGAAGACTCGAATTGGGTGTCAACATACTTTATATACAACCATATATATGTGTAATAAGAATTGTAATGCATTCCACTGTCATAAATAAATAAAAAAAAAATAAAAATAAACCACAGGTGTGAGCATTTCTATGTGTATTCACTATTAAAAAATTTTCCCAGAAAAATTATGAATTGCTATATAATGGACCTTGAAGCTTGTTAGCAGTCAAAACCATGAAAACTAAACCCCTGAATGCTAAGGGCCTGCTATAAATGTCTGAGTATAGAATGAACAAATAAGGAATGTAGGCAAAATATGAACATAGGAATGGTCACCTAGAAACAGCATTTCTCTTTGACATTTCCCCTAGAGAAATGAAAAATTAAGCTCTCATGAAAACACAAGGATTTATGGCAGTTCTACTTATAATCACCAAAAACTGGAAAGAACACAAATGTCCAATTAGTGAATCAATAAACAACCCACAGCACATCCACAGAATGATAGTCCAACAAATATAAAGTAACAAACCAGTGGTACACCCAACAACTTGGATAAATCTCAGAGGTGTTATGCCAAGTAAAAGAAGCCAACCTCAAAAGATTACATACTTTATAATTTCATTTACTTGACTTTCTTAAAAAGATGAAACACAACAATAAAGATCAGTGGTTGCCTGCATTAGAGGCAGATGGTCTGTATGTGATTATCAAGTGTTGATGAGCAAATTTGGGGCAATGAAAGAACTATTCCATATCATGACTGTGGTGGTGGTTACATAAATCCACAAATGTCAAAATCTACAGATCTATATATGAAAAAGGACCAATTTATGATATAATTTTAAAAGTAACAGACATTCAAGAAAGCAAATTATTTTACTCACCAATTCTGAAAAATGTGACAATGCTATCTACAGCCAACTTTTCAAAAACTTGATCAATAATATTTGTTAACGGTAATAATAAATATCAATAAATCTAAAACTTAAAATCTTTAAACCTCTATTTAAATAATCAGAAAAGGACTTACCAAGTTCATTGAGACTCTGAGCAGCTTTTGTTATCTCTCTACTTCCCCCTTGCAGTTGTCCTTGGAGTCTCTTACTGAGATACAAGATGCGAATAATTCGCCGAAGCAAATCACAGGCAACCTGTGCAAATATCACAATGTTAAATATGTGTAGCAGATCCAATCAAGTTTCATTATAATTACTATTAATATGTTATTTGCCCATTCTTTTTTTTTAATGTCAATGGACCTTTATTTTATTTCTTTATATGCGGTGCTGAGAATCAAACCCAGTGCCTCACACATGCTAGGCAAGCGCTTTACCACTGAGCGACAACCCCAGCCCTTAATCTGTCCATTCTTTCCAGATGCTAAAGACTCATTCATGCCTTACTTCTCTAAATAAATACAAATCTTAAAAAAGTATCAAATTTAAGAAATTCCTCAATCTTCTACATTTCCTACAAACAGGATGTAGACAGGTTCTTCAGATTTAGGTTTATCATTTCTGGCAAGTTATCATTAAGTGGTAATAAATCACATATATGATTTTCTCTTGTGTTATTAGCAACCAATAATAAAGTCATACGTTCGATTTTCTTTTATTATTAGCAACCACTGATATTAAATATCAAAATTCATCAAAACCTGAGTAAATGCAAAACGATGTACTATTATTTAATCTTTGTTTGCTAGCACATAAAAATTTCTCTATGAAAATTTTTTACCTTAAGTATATTTGTCTATCCTTAAGGGTACAGCTCATACGGGAAAGTAAGCATAAATACTTATCTTCCTCTCAGCTTGTATTTCCAAAAGGAAGGGTTTCCTAATATCCACTAATGATGAACAAACAACAAGAATTTGTTCTTAGTTTGTTTTTTTTCCATTATAAATGAATTCATAAATGTAAACATAATATGTCAATTCGTTGTGAGCTATTATCCTTATTGGTACTCAAATTGACCCATTGTGACTAGTGGGAGCCTCAGAGTGATCAACTGTACTACATTGTCTGAGACTGAAATCTCCCAAATTTAGGATTTTTAGGGCTGAAAGTGAGATAGTTGAGCAACCTCGGGCATCTTTAAATTGGCTTCTGATTTCTTTTGTCATAGACCTAGTAGTCACCAATATATTCTTTGTTATCTGGTATAAAAAATGTTTCAAAATCATTTTATACAATTCATGTCCCAGATCTGGAATCAAAGAGTTCTCAAAGAAGCCCTTGTTTCTTTTAGGAAGAAATAGCATTTCAAGACCACATTCTCGGAACTAGTTTTGTTCATTTCTGAGAATTTTCCATAGATATAGCTAGGAAATGTCATAATTAAAATATAGCATAAATATTCATTTGCTTTAATCTACAATATAGACTTCTCAGATTAACATTATACATATACATATGTACAAATATATACAGAGAAATATACAATTTTGCACTCTTTTAAAATAAAATTAAAATATCTCAAGTTCCTAGGGATAATTTCCAATTAAAGATCAAAAGTACAGGGTATAAGGGCTGGAGATGTGGCTCAGCGGTAGCGCGCTCGCCTGGCATGCGTGCGGCCAGGGTTCGATCCTCAGCACCACATGCCAACAAAGATGTTGTGTCCGCCGAGAACTAAGAAATAAATATTAAAAAATTCTCTCTCTCTCTCTCCTCTCTCTCTCTCTCTTTAAAAAAAAAAAAAAAAAAGTACAGGGTATTTATTTAACCTTCTATATTATATCAGTATATCATTATTTCCATGCTGAGACTCTTGGTTCTTAAGGATACGGGTGATAACTTAAAATAATTTATTTGCTTGACTGCACAATACACAGAAAACAGTATCTAACAAAACCAACACCATAATAAAACTATGATTGTTGAAAATGAGCTAATTTTTTTCTGGATTCTATTTCTTTATCAAAGCATACAGTTATCACCTACTATACATTCCTTTCCGGCCCTATTTATCTTAGTTCTAATGCTCAYCGAAAGTCTTTACACTGGTATTTCTCTAATCATTTTGGTAACTGAAAAACACTACTAGTTTCCTAAGAAAAGTTTATAAAAACAATATTCCCTGCATTGACATAGGTTGATAGGAGTCTATAAATGAAAATTACAAGATACAAGAATGAGTAAACAGAAAAATGAGCAAGTGAAAAGACTGACGCTTAATCCACAGCACAAGTAAGAAAAAGCCCACAGTAACAGAAAAAGAAGAAAAAATTCAGGAACTGAGGTTTCAGAACAGGTGCTAGGTTGATATTACAGATTGAACAATGTTCCACTCTCCATTATACCTATGAGAAAGGTTCCTCTGCATTCTCACTGACCAAAAATGTATCTATTGCTGGCTGGCTGTCCCCAAAATAATTTGAAAATATCTCATCTCCACCATCTGAAAAAGACATTCAAACTCTTCTTGCATGCTCTATTTCTCAAACTGTAATACGAGACACGTACAAATACATTAAAAATTACATGTTTTGTTTAATCACATGCCACATGTTTGAAAAAAACACAAATGTGCTATGGAAAAAAAATTATTGTAGTCCTTTTGGTAATAGGGATTGAACCCAGTAACCACTGAACTGCATCACCACTTTATTTTATTTTTTGCTTTAAGACAGTTCTCACTAAGTTGCTGAAGGTCTTACTAAGTTGCTGAGGCTGGCCTTGAACTTGTGATCCTCCTGTCTCAGTTTTCTGAGTCTCTCAGATTACAGGGATGCACAACTGCACCCAGCCATTTTATTCATTTTTTTAATTAGTATAAGTGCCTGGTACATAATACTCTGCTAAGGTTGTGATTCAAATATTAATGTATTATCATAACCTTCAAGGAATTTAGTCTTATGGAAGAGTTTAAAGAAAGGCAAAGTTATGCAGAAAGAGCTATATGAAAATATTTATGTGATTATTAAAGGAATCAAATAATGAAAAATAAATATTACGCTTTGCCAGAGTAAGGAGAACAGAACTCACAAGAGCTGACATACCTAATGAAATCTGTTAAGTATCAAGAACATTCTGAGTTAGGAAAGAGAAAATGTGCAAATGAATAAATGTGAGAATCTCTTGCACACTCAGAAATAATAAGTAGTTTAGAATTAAATAGTATCCATGGTAAATATTTTTAGAATGACAAAAGGCAAAGTTGATAAAGTTAAAAAGAGGCCACATCATGAAGTGGCTCATGCCCATTAAAGACAAGGGCCTTCATTCTATTTCTTAATGAGAAACAACTGAATAATTATATCAAGTGGAAAAAAACGACCTGATGTGGTTTTAGAAAGATGAAGTATGCAGTTTTCCTATTTTCAGTAAGGCAGGCTAGATATTTGCTTCCCATGGAAAACAACTAAAAATGTTTTCTCAAACATAAAGACATTTCAAAAGAGCAATGAAATGATAACACAAATATCAGACCAAATGTGAAGCAAAAGAAGTGAACCCAAAGAATAAAGAAGCAAATGCACTTGTAATCTTAAAATACTTGCTAATTCCAGAATGAATCTTGATAGCCTTTGAGGCAAAGTAGGGGACAGGGGCTAAAACTGAGTTTAATGCTTATTTTAAGAGAAATAAATCCTCTCTGAAAGACTCAGATATTAAAAAAAAAAAAAGATCTCTCAAGTAAAATATCCAACCCATAGCAAAACACAACCAGGCAAACAGGGAAACTGGACAGAGCTAACAAACAACACTAAGATAAATTTGTAAAAACCAATAACACTGTTCTACTGAATTCAGATAACAAAAAACCTCAATAGAATATGTTCAAGAAACAGGAAATATGAGAGTTGATGCAGCATTTTAGGAAAAGAAAAAAATCGAACTTCTAAAAAATTATACAATGAAGAAAAAGAAAAAAATAAATAAAAATTAAATAATGACCAAGATTTAGCAAAATAGTATTACTTAGATTAGCTTATCCACAATCTAGCAGTTGCTAAAGAAAAAATTAATAGAATGGAAGATCATCTAATTCAGAGGGAAGGGAAAAAAAAACACTTCAGAAAACAGCAGGGAGAAACAAAAATATAAAATAAAGGGGGTAAAGAACTTATAACAATAATTGAGTGTAAATTTTTTCAAAAGAGAGAGAGAAAAAGAGAGAGAATTTTTTAATATTTATTTTTTAGTTTCCGGTGGACACATCTTTATTTTATTTTTATGTGGTGCTGAGGATTAAACCCAGCGCCCCGCGCATGCCAGGCGAGCGTGCTACTGCTTGAGACAAACCCCCAGCCCTTGAGCGTAAATTTAATCACAATCTCAAGAAACAGAACAGTGTAGACTTGAAGAAATCACGGGTTAGAAATAAAGGAGACAAATTCATACAATGAACATAGAAAACGAACTGCAAATGAGATGAATAAAAGAAACCACTTTCTGATACTGAGAGGAATCAAAAAGGAAGAAAATCTTAAAAGATGCCAAAGGAGCCGAGTACGATGGCACATGACTGTAATGTCAGTGACTTTGAGAGCTGGACAGGAGGATTGCAAATTTGAGGCCAGTTTCAACAATTTAGTGAGACCCYATTTCAAAATACAAAATAAAAAGGCTGAGGTGCTTTACCACTGAGCACATCCATAGCTCAGTGGTACAGTGCCCCTAAATTCAATCCCTAGTACCACACACACACACACAAAAAGGCAGCAACAGCAGCAGCAGCAGCAGCAGCAGCCAAAGGAAATAGCAGATCATAGTCCTGACAGTTTCTCATAACTCATTTAGAAGCCAGAATACAATGGGATGATATCTTCTACATGAAAAAAACTAATAAGAATTAATTCTATAAGGAAGAATGGAAGAGTGATATAGTGTGGTTGTGGAGTGTCCCCCAGGGCCTGTTGAGTGAGTTCTCAAGTTGGTGCTATTGAAAGGTGGTAGAAAACTTCAAGAGGTAGGACTTCCTAGGAGATCTTAAGTCAGTGGGGACATGCCATCAAGGGGGCTATACAACTCTGGTGTCTTTCTCTCCCTTCTTCACTTCCCCACCAAGAGGTGAATGACCTCTACCATACACTCCCACCATTATGTGCTGTGTCACCACAGGCCCAAAGCAATGAGGCCAACCAGTCACGGTGATACCCCCAAAACTATGATCAAAAATAAAAATAAAGTTTTTCTCTTTAAAT